ACAATGATAATAATTATAGCAATTAGTCAGTAAAATTCAACTAAGTTCTGATAATAATGATTAACTTGATAACAACAATGTGCTTCAGACTGAAGAGCATTATATAACTCTCTGTAAATTTTTTTCCAATAATAAAACCACTGGATAGAATTTGACAAGAACTTCCATAAAAGTATGTATTTTGAGAAAAATTAAATCTTTAAAAGTACTGCCTTTCTGAATCATTCTATTCAGTTTACAAAAACAAAAATCTCACATATTTACACAACAGTTTCACACTAACACTATAATAAGAAAAAAAAAAGTTACCCCATGTTCTTGAATTTTGTCTGACAGCCACTTGTCCAATTTCAGGTATTCCCGTCGAGATGCTAGACATGCTAGGTCTATCACAAAAGAGAATGGGTTACCATTTAACAACACTGACAGAGCTTTCAGGTCCTGTGCCACATCCAATATACGAGACAGGCGAGCTTGATCACAATCTCCTCTTAAGTACCATTCAGCCATAGCATGCATGATGATAGGTCTCACTTTGACAGCATGGACCTATATATAAACATTGGTGTGAAAGTTACTCAAGAATGGGAAAAACTGGTAAATTGAATTTTAATAGCTACCTCAAGAGAAAAGATAGTAAAACTTGAATTTATAGTTACAAGTACAAACATTTCATTTTAAAAATTACCAAAACTGTATAATTCATTGTCCATATCAATACTAAATAAAGTAGGAAGTCAAACAGAGAAAGTGGAACTTCAGTAGTTTTTAGAAAAACCTAATTTTGAAAATTGTGAAAAATATTTCCCATTTTCTTCTACTTTTCAATAATTTTAATGTATTTCAAATGTACATAAGAACATAACATGTATACAGTTACAGAACTCCATTCACATGTACTTTCATACATTTTCCTCTGTAGTAACAAGCATTAAAATTTCTGCTTCCTTATGAATTACACTAATAGCATGTCTCAATGAGAAGCAATAAAACATAACATAAACAAATTATAAATGTAGGGAAGTAAAAACTCCATGCTGTTACCTAGAATTACATTTACTGTAGACATAATTTACTCAAACTACAAACCCCTACTTTGGCTCCATGCTGTTACCTA